CCCTCAAGATTCGCTCTTCAGACACCTTTAACAGACACTGAAGCAGAAAACTCAGGAGCGCCTGCAGCACTGATGAGGTTAATGTGATCTGAAAGCCTGTGAGGTTCTTGGCTGCCTTTTACTGCTAGCAGGTGCTGAAGGTCAGGAGTACGTTCATTTATGCAATGATGAAGCATCTTTTATGGCAGTAGAGATAACAGGTATGCCTAATATTGGTCGTATGTCTTATACAGTGTGTACAGTACTGCACTAAAAGATTAAATCACCCTCTATTGTTGGTTTTAATCAGCTTTTTTGTTGACATTACTTAACAGATGCATGTAACTGAGTCAGTTGTGCGACGTACAGTGTTTGTTTAGTCAGGGCAACAATCTTTCCCATTGGCTCCTGGCTCCATCTATGCATATTGCTTTACTTACTTAACCCTGTGTGTGTTGTCTTCTCTTTGGCCCGCCCTCCAGGGTTGCCAGATTGATAGTTTCCCACCAAAATGCTCAAAAACACCCACAAATTATAAACACTAAATAATACAACCAAAATGACATCAAGAAACTGCACAAACCTCTGGTGTCTTGCCTCTACAACGTTTGTCGTTAGGTGTTCACACTGTCACTACTGTCCAGTACGAGTGTTAGGACTTCTCTTAAGCTCCTGAAGTCCTAACTAATAGGAGAGCTCGCTTAGCTTTACCTACCTAGATACCACAGAGAAAACAAATCCTGATTGGCTTACTTTCTGCTCAGTGTATCAAGAATTCAACCCTTATTTAGAGTTAAATACAAGCATGATCATGTTGAATAAAAATGAACTTGAAGGTCTAGAAGGTCTGTATTGATAATGTAATTGCTGTAATGCTGTTGGCGATACAGCTGACACATTCTGTCCTGTTCATTTCTCTTCTGCATCAAAATAATCATCTGTGGTGATCAAATACCCACCAAATATGAGGTAGATTGAAACTATGTTTGAAAAACACTACAGTATTCCTTTAATGATGCTTGGTTACTCACATAAATGCAGTCTATTCAAAAGTTTGTTGGTCATTCTTTAGAATTTTGTTTGCATACATCCCTGAGACGTGGTTAGTTATGATCACCACAAGCAGGCCTGGAGACGACGCCCGCAGATAGCACAGATGGAATCCACACTGTTTATCTATCTCTAATTAAGTAATCTCCAGAGATTTAACAAGCTGGACAGGCAAAGCACAGAAAATCCTCGTTATAGTGCTCTTTATTGCACTGTAAACATGGAAAACTGCCCAGTTGTTTTAGATTCATCATTTATTAAAAAAGCAGTGACTGAGGTTTGATCTTTGTTTTAGTGTCATCCGGTAACGAAGTTAAGATAAGGCTGGAAAATGTGCCAAACCTGTTAGACTTTATACACACACTACACACACTATCACACGCAGAATGGTTATATAAGAGCTGAAGTGCTGTTAAAGTACTCCAGCACAGATAGAGGTATGAGAACTTGGCTGAAGGTCTGGAGTGTAAATTATATTACATTATAGACTTCAATAACCTGACCAGATTATAATGTGATCATTATTAAAATCTTAATCAGTAACACTTTTACAGATTATTTATGAACAAATGAATGTTGTGTATGAATGTTTAGTACATATATGTCTTGTTTACTAAATATTTAACACATCTCACTGTTGAAACAAAAGCTTGCTATGTTAATGTAAAAATATTTTATTCTGAGTGATCTCGGATTTATTTATCCATCCATCCCTCATTAAACGCCCACAAAAAGTAAAAAGCATCTGGCATTTTCAAACAATATAAAAGTATATAATAAACAAAAGTGTACTTATTTTTGTATTCAGTTTTAGATTTAATGTGTGTTAAAATGTTGCCAACATTTTTTAATGCCTTTAAGGTGTTACTTAAATTGGTCATGCTGACTTTTATTATGTAAAGCTCAATTGTTTCTCCCATTTATGTGAAATTTGCAGTGAAATGATATTTGCCACAGGATTTCGTCTAATTAACATGTAGTGGAGAACAATCAGGGTCTTTTAGGCATTCGGAGAAGGTCCATCGATTTCTGGGAATCACATAATCACATACATGTGTACATACTTGTAATGTTTAGCTCATCTTTTATTGAAAAGAATCATTATGCTTGTTGTGTTTAAACTCTGTAAGTATTAATACTCCTCTCTTTCATTTTGGTTGAAAACAAAAGAGTTAAATTCTTGAAAAGCCCAACAGAAAATGATCCAATCAGGATTGTCTTCTCTGTGGTATCTGGGTAGATACAGCCAAGCAAACTCCCCTATTGGTTAGGCCTTCAGGAGCTGGACCTAACAACCAAACTAACTCAGTGGAGTCAACCAGTCAAGTTTTGATTTACAATAGCACCAATTTTGTGAGAGGTATTGTCCTTCTGGAAGTTCTAGACAAGTCATTGACTGTGAATACGAGCTGTAGTCTGTGTTCCAGTTAGTTGTTAGGAATGTAAAACAGCAGTGGCAGCTCTATGTCAGGACTCTTTACTGAAAGAGTCACTGTAAAACTGACACATACAAGCACAGACCTATTGTTGTTGTTGATCTCCATTTTTGCCTTTTGCATTTTTCATTTTTTGACATAGTCTGAAAATGCCAGCATTGTATAATATATAGAAATGCTCCAAAATTACTTGGAAAAACTCTGGTTCCATTAACTCCCATTCAAAGTTAAAAGGGTTTTTCTTTATCCTGTAAAATTACATTATTGGAGATAAAAGATTTTGTCCTGACAGTGACCATATGTTAAAGTCTGTTAGAAACTTCACAGAAAACATATGGAATGTCCATATTTAGTCTACAACTGCCTACATACGTTCGTGTGCAGTGTTAGCTTAGCAGTGGCATACCATTAGACATCTAAAGAGGCGCTATCATAAATTAGCTTTGTTGTAGAGTTGTTTTTGATCAAGTTTTAACATTTATGGCCCAAATTGAAGGCCTCGCTCTAACATTCAGAGTTCAACACTGATCTAATGAAGTTACAGCACAGCTAACAAATGCTGGACCAATGGCTGAACATGAATACTGAAGGACACGGAGCAGAGCGAGTGAGAGGGAAAAGGAGCTAACAGGATGAAAAGCTTAGTCTAATCCTGAGATGAGGTTTGTGGAATGAGCTTATGTAGACTGACATGCCAACCTCATTGCAGTCTTCGCCGATGGAAACACGGAGGAGCTCAACACACAAAGGAACTAGATTTTACCTCAGGGTTGTTGGTGTGACGTATGCTGGTGATGCACGAATCACAAAAATGAATTAATTCACTAATTAATTTGTGTATTATTGCATTTTTTCAAAATATAATATATTCAGTTAAAGTTTTAAATGAAATATAAACCGAATACTAGACAAGCTAGCACGCCATTTTCTGTAAGGTGACTTTGAGAGCTTTAAGGGAAAAGCTTTAGCATCAGCTAGCAAGCCTTCACTGAGTTAACCTTAACTAGGAGCCTTAAGCGAGAGCTGATAGCGCTAAATAACAGCAGAATGCCTTCAGATCAGCCACAATAAGGAGGTTGTATTTTTCAGTGTAATTATTTTTCTCGGATACAAATTGTAGGCTTTTGAACATGAGCAATGTAGGCTAACTGCTCTGCTAAAAATGCCAGGAAATACAGAGAACGCTACAAACATTCAAAATGTGACGCCTGATAAAACTGATAGCAGTAGCAGGCTATTGTTTCTGCTGGAAAACACTGTGTGCACCACTGTTATTACCAAAAAGCAATTAGCAAAAGCTGAGTCTAGCTTTCAGCTTAGCTAAATAGTAACCCTAAGGAGATCTGATAGCGCTAAATAATAGCAGCATGCCATTAAACCAGCCAAAGTGGCCTAATGTTATTTATTTATTTTATTTTATTTTTTTTGCAGTGTAACTTTTTTCAATAAAAATGGTCAATGGTGTAGCTTATAAACACTAGCATTGTAGGCTAACGGCTATGCTGAAAATACCTGGCAGAACACTACAAACTTCTAACTGTGATGTTAGATAAAACTCATATAGTTAAAACCTATTAAAGACATCAGTCGATGATAATAAGTCCGCTTTTTTCCCAGATGACGAGGTTTAGGTTGGGAAACACTGTGTGCACCACTGTTACTACCAAGCAGCAATTAGCAAAAGCCAAGTCTAGCTTTTAGCCTAACTACATTGTAGCCTTCATGGAGATCTGATAGCACTAAATAAAAGGCAGCAAACTGTTAAACCAGCCAAAGTGGCCTAATGTCATTTATTTATCTATTTATTTTGCAATGTAACTTTTTTTGATAAATATTGTCAATAGAGTAGCTTATAAACAGTAGCATTGCAGGCTAACAGTTATGCTGAAACCACTTGGCAGAAGACTACAAACATTCTAACTGTGAAGTTATATAAAACTGATATAGTAAAAGGCTGTTAAAGACATCAGTCGATGATAATAAGTCCGTTTTCTGCCAAATGGTGATGAGGTTTAGGTTGGGAAACATTGTGTAAACAGTGAGCAAGAGTAAAGTCCACTACTAGCAATCACTACTGTTCCTAATAAAGACGTGAGGCTGTTTTTATACTAGATGCATTTATTTTACAAAGATACCCAGAAAAATATATTACAAAGAGTAATCAAAGACGTGGACGTCCCTCTCCTGTGACTAGCTGTAGTATCATAACCTCTCACTGACTGTACATTATCATACGTCACAAGTACACGCTAAACGCTGATTGTCCGTGCTGTCCGTGACCGATTTACTTATCCTGACTGTGCTTTATAAAAGATACCTTGCAATCTAAAAAAGAAAAAGCTCCATTCTGGGGGTCTCTGTATGGGAACCTGTCGTGTTGACATGTTTTGATTAGTGGTTCTGTGAAAGACAGAGCTGCTGCTCTTCTTGCAGGGAAGCCTAAGAAGGCCATGGTGGGCTAAAGAACCTTGGAACCCCATCAAGATCCCTCCAGGAACCCTTCTTTTTAAGAGTGTGGCCAGTGGAGGGCCTTCGCTATGTGATGATGCAACCTCCCTTCTCCTTGAAGGGGTTCTTGTCTTCAGGAACTCCCTTGATCAGGGGGTCTTCTGCAGACTGGGCCTCGGCGTAGGCGATGAGCTCAGGAGCAGTTGCAGACACCTGAAAAGAAGCATTTAAAGAAGAAAGAGGTCATGACTGAAGTCAAGTTTGACTCATATCCTTTCACTCAGCAGGTCAAAAGCTTGAATAATAACATTTACATTGTAGATTTACAGGACAAACCAGAGTTACAAACTAAATAACGGGGGCACTCTGGAAGTTAATTTTCTTATAACTTCACTCTGGATATTAATTTTATAAAATTTCATTCTGAAAATTAATTTTATTACAACTTCACTCTGGATATTAATTTTATAAAAATTTCATTCTGGATATTAATTTTATCACAACTTCACTCTGGATATTAATTTTATAAAATTTCATTCTGAAAATTAATTTTATTACAACTTCACTCTGGATATTAATTTTATAAAAAATCTCATTCTGGAAGTAAATTTTATTACAACTTCACTCTGGATATTAATTTTATAAAAATCTCATTCTGGACTTTAATTTTCTTACAAATTCACTCTAAATATCAATTTTATAAATTTTTAACAGTTCCATATTATGTTTATGTAAAAAGGTAAATATTTCTTATTATAATTTTATACAAACAGATTTGCTTTATATTAAATTATATTGAAAACATTGATCGGTAGTTTGAGGCTGAGAGATTTATTGGGAAGTAGCTTCTACACTGTGTTTAGAGGGATGGAGAGTGAGATACTCACTGCAGTTCTGGACATGTTGACCTCTTTCTTCAACTGATCCAGCTCCATCTTCAGGATATCTTTATCTGACATGTCCCGAGCCATCTCGGCTGTCGACAGAAACCAGTATAGACTCAACAAAGAATCCCAGCAATGTACTCGTTCAGCACTTACATGTGCAGCCTGCATCTCCTCGAAGTAACTCTCGATTATGTCCTCATGCATGAAGTTTGTTTGCGTTTGAATTCCTTGGAATCGTGTTGTTATAAGGAATGCTCACTGATTTAGGCAGAAATGGTGCATCACTAAATTTAAAACTACTTTGAACCTGTTTTAGAGGTCCTGCTTTACCAGCTATAGCTTTTCTTCTGACTTATTCTTTTCATTCCAGTGCAAAGACACAGCGATTATTAACACAGCTGTGGTTTGTTGGCCATATAATAAAGAATTTCAGCAACAGAGTCGTTCAGAGTGGTTTGGTGTGAAATACTCTGCTCTACAAAAAAGTCAGAATTGTTCACAGTGGTGGTGATAGGAACCAGACGTCCACCTCTAAAAGCTCCCTCACAGAAAGTTCCTACATGAAATGGTTATGAATTCACTGCCTGATGACTGAGACACTGTTTTATGATAGTTCAGAGAACTTAAACTCCATTCATGGTGGAGGGATACATACAGGGTGTTGTGAGGCAAAATAGTCCCCAAAGAAAACCTATTATTTCAGATTTTCCACTATTTTCCATCATCAACATTCCATATAAACTCAGAAGACTCTTGTAGGTTCACTGGTGGTTCTGGATAGTAAATAAAATGTCTATATTTGTGTTGTAGTCATGGCGACCCCTGGTTCCTATCACCACCACTGTAAAGACATCTGAGTTTCTCTGCAGTAAATCATTTTGCATCAAGCCATACAAACAGGGCTAAAGTCATGTCATGATTTGCATTATGAATTTACATATCAAGAAGTTATTACATGTTCACACTATTTTACAGATTTTGTTGATATTGTACTACAGAACCGTCTGCACGTTGCAGCAAGTCTTAGTTTTTCCTTTGAGAACAATTCACAGCTGAAGAAAATCCACATAATCCAGAAGATTATCAAGCACCACATGTTAATATCTAAACAGAAACCTCTCAGTTTGACTGCGTTCTTTGGGCTGCTGTTGCTGTATTGGTAGGATACTTCCATCCGCAGGAGATCTTTAATCATCTCTGGGTTCTTTTATGAAACGTACCACATTTGCTGTTTCAAATATTTACAAAATCCAGCAATTTGACATTTCAGTGTTCTTTCTCATGTTCTCATGTTCTCAGCAAAGCCAATATTTCATCCCCATTAGTGTATACACTGTATTAAATTGTCACAAAGCGTTCTCTGAGTGACACCACTGAAGAACCACTCTTGGTTCCCTAAAGAACCATGTTTGAAAAAAAAAATTGTGAGTGTGAAGAACCATTTAACATTTAAAAGTACCACATACGCTCTTTAAAAAAGATAGTCCTTCAAATGTTCTTCAGATTAATGAAGAATGTGTTGTATATGGTTCTATATAGAACCTTTTTGAGAATGGTTCTGCATAACACCAAAAAAGGTTCTTCTATTGTCACAATGTCAAGCTTGTTACAACCGAAGATCCCTTTTTGGTGCTATATAGAACCATATACATCACATGCTCCATCAATCTGAAGAACCATTTCAGCATGCAAAGAACCATTTAAGCCAAAATGGTTCTAAATAGAAGTCCTGGTTCTAAAGAACCCTTGAAGAACCATCTTTTTAAAGAGTGTAGGTAAGGGCTGTATACCAATTTAACTTTAAAAAGGTTCTTCACATTCGCACACCTCATCTACAAAAACGTGTCTCAAAAGAACCATCCATTGAAATGTTCTTTAGGGAACCAAAAGTAGTTCTTCTATGACGGTCTGTATCTCCTACCTGTTGGGTGGGACTCCCGGCAGTCAGAGAGATGTTCTGGTGTCTCCTAGGAGATCATCAGCAGTTCCTCCTCCCTTTCTCCAGCAGACTGAGCTCCTCTCCCTCCTTCTTCTCCTCTTCATCTCGCGTCAGGCTTTTTGGGTTGATCCCGGTGGGGATTGGCTTCTGATGTCATCAATCCCACTTGATCTCATTAGGACGTTCAGAGGAAGCAGGATAGGTCTGAGGGGCGACCTCTAAAGCCCATTTGAATGATGGAAAAGGAAGGACAGAAGAGAGGAGCAACTGTGAAGGTCAAAGTTTGCAAATGTGGTGACCAGAAGTGTCATTCGAAAACAGCAATAGCGGCCCAAAGAGCCGGGCTTTTCCTCTGTGATGGCAAACATTCTAAAGGCACTTTAACTTCGTTAAATTACGTTAAATATGTTAATGAATTATGTTAAATATGTTAATGAATTTAGGAAAAAGAACAGCTTTATCCCTCTGTGGTCTGAAGAGATTCTCTCGGTTTGTTCATCTCTTCTTAATTTCTCCTTTAAAGTCTCTTCATATAACATGATCCTCATATGTTTCATATCTAAATGCTCCGTTATCTTCATCACTACTTTCCAAACCCACTGCAGCAGCTTCAGCAGCTGTAAACTCTCTGCACGCCGTTTCACATGAGTCTCCGATGTGGACTGAATGAAGAATGAAGAGTTTCCGGCGTGATGGTCAGTCCTTAGTGATTTCCTGAGTGTCCATTGGTCAGTTTCACACAGAATGTAGACGGACACACGAATCCACCAGCTCCACACGGTGAGAGGCAGATGACGTGTATCTCAGCCCCTCTTCATAGGCTCATAACTCCGGATGTGAGTCTCGTATGATCTCGTGATAAGATGGAATGGAAAGGGCGACTCTACAGATTCAGGAAGTGTCTGAACTGGATTTCTGAGCTGGATCATCACAAAGATACAGACACAGATATAGAAACAGTGAATTTGACACACAGACGAGTTCATGGACCCCAGAGGGTTAATGTGATGCACCTTCAGCAAACATTCTGAGCAAATCTGGTGCAGAACCCACAGCTGTAGCAGGAGATCAAATATAAGCGCAGATAACTTGACAAAAAATTAATGCAAATAGATAGTTAGTGATTTCGCATTGCAACACTATCGTTATCCAACTAACACTGTTCCAACTCCGGAGTGGTCGGTCTGATTGGGAATGATGTGCCTCTATACAGCTTTTTGATCCGAAATTCGGTTTTCATACAATCTCCATTAAATTATAAATTGTTTTCCCATAAAAACGAATGGGGAGAAAAAGTGGCATGCCCATCTATTTTACTTCTGGTCAACCAAAAAACTCTGTTTCGCATATACCTATCTCAGGGCAGGCCCCCGAGCACAAATTCAATGTTGTTCTGACCTGCACTCATCTGTTTGTCTTTTTTTAATCATCCATTTTTTCTCCCATAGACTCCCATTCATTTTTGCGCCCACACAAACTATATTATTTCTTTGCACAACAGCCACCAAACTGCTTGTCCTCACTCAGTGCAGGTCCCCAAACTCTACTGCACAGTCATAGTGACCCGCTCTCCTCTATGTCTCGGTTTTTCATCCCTCAATCATCCCACAGACTCCCGTTCATTTTTTCACAATAACTAGCAACCACTTGGCAGCTCCCTAACAACCACTCAGTACACACCCCTCAAGCCATAGCAACTTTCTGGAACAGGGGTGCACAACTCCAGTCCTGGAGGGCTGGTGTCCAGCAGATTTTGGTTATTTACCTGCTCAAACACACCTGAGTCAACTTATCCGTTAATTGCCATGTTTAGTGGGCGTGTTTGAGGAGGGAAATCCTTAAACTGTGCTAGACACCAGCCATCCAGGACCAGAGTTACACACCCCAGCCTAGAAACACCTTAGCAACCACCTAGCAACAAGTTTCAGCCGTGCAGTCACTCTGCATTTTCTTCAGGAAATGCACTATTCTAGTAACAGTATATAGTTTTATCACCCTGTTCAGTTCTTCTTCAGAGAATTCTCAAAATTGTAAATAAAAATCTAAAAAAATACCTTTTGCTGAATAGTTATGGTGTAATATTTAAACCCACTCTGCATTATACACCGTATGCTGTTGTTCTACAGTCATATGCAAGTGTTTCAAGTCAAAATTGGACGTTGTGCTGATTTTCTAAGTTAACAGACCCTCTACAGAGAATGAACTTCTGCACATTTTAATGTACACCTTGAATGGAGTTTAAGACCAAAATCTTCTCAAAACTATCATAAAACAGTGTCTCAGTCATCAGGCAGTGAATTCATAACCATTTCATGTAGGAACTTCCTGTGAGGGAGCTTTTAGAGGTGGACGTCTGGTTCCTATCACCACCACTGTGAACAGTTCTGACTCGGTAAGTTTATCTAGACCAGAGCGTTTCACACCAAACCGCTCTGAACCACTCTGAATGACTCTGATTGACTCTGTTGAATTTGAATGCATGAATGAATTTAAAAAATCGGTGGAATTCCCCTTTAAGAGTGTATGTAGGATCAGCTAATATATCTAGCCTTAAAGGGAAATTCCAAAATTGGACGTCAAACATGATATAAATGTATGTTGTGACAAATTAGTTGTCTGTAGTTAATTAATGTAAATTTATGTAAATGCATTTATGTAAAATGCAAATCCAGAAGCTTTAATAAAAGAAGCACCAGTGGTTCTTGGCTTGGTGTTTATTCAACACATTGGAGAAAAATTAAAATTTAAAATGTGGCCTGTGCAAAAGTTATGGCACAATTTATATTCCAATACATTAAACAAAGCAAATAAATAAAAATTATGTGCTAAAACTTGCACATATGTAAATGTCTTCTCTGTATATGATGTTTTAACTTATTTATACTTAGCAAATTTTGACTGTGAGGGTGTTCAGACTTTACCATTCAACAGTATATAAACAGCAAAAATATTAACATGGCAAGTGATTCCAAACTTTCGGACAGTTCAGCGTGAAATAGGTCATCTTAAAATTATACAGTAACTGAGTGCACAGCTTTTTAAAATAAAACCTCTCTTTAATCCTTAAAATTAAACAGACTGTTATGTAAATTTGCACTGTTTTGATTGGCTGTGCCTGTAGAAACAGTCTTTATAACTTCACTGTGAGTGGGCGGAGCTAAACTGCTGTAGGCTAAATAAATGGATGTATATAAAGGAGCTGATTTCTGTGACTTCATAAAAACAGTGAGTTCAAAAGGTGTTTTCATAGACAATTAATTCAGTTTTCCATGAAATGGGGGCTTTACATTTCGCTTGGGTTTTATTCCTCCCCTCAGTTGGTTCATTGCTGATGACTAAACTAAGCTGAGTTAATTCAAAAGAGTTAAAAAATCATTTAATTCATGATTCTGGTGGTTTTTTTTTATGTAGCATGTAAAAGAAGAGAAAATAATTCCTGACATTGCTGTCCAGGTGTCTCCACCCAGATGATCTCTGACCTTTCATTAAACTTAGTACGTTATTTTCTGTCACTTTCTTTCTAGAGATGTTTCTAGAAATTCGGCAGCCATATGGACGACGCTGTCCCCTATTATAAGACTCTATGTGGGACTGCTGAGTGAATCTGAGCTGTATCTGAGGGGCTGAGCTGGCTAAGCTGCTCGTGGCTCAGGGCTCACCTATAAGCCGGTTTCTTGGGATCTAGGTTAGGCTCGTTTGTGCAGGATTAGTGACAGAGACCTGGCAACCCTGATCTGTAAGAGGAAGGACCACCACGCTCAGCGGAACTAACTAGAAACATCTAGAATTCAAATCCAGGACAATATTTTTCTTTACAGTGGTGGTGATAGGAACCAGGGGTCACCATGACTACAACACAAATATAGACATTTTATTGACTATCCAGAACCACCAGTGAACCTACACGAGTCTTCTGAGTTTATATGGAATGTTGATGATGGAAAACAGTGGAAAATCTGAAAATAATATGCTATTTTTTGCCTACAGTGCCCTGTATGTATCCCTCCACCATAAAATTAGGCTTTAAGCCAAAGCTTCATAAAACAGTGTCTCAGTCTTCAGGCAGTGAATTCATAGCCATTTCATGTAGGAACTTTCTGTGAGGGACAATTCTGTGGACAAATCTGACTCAGTAAGTTTCTCTAGAACTGAGCGTTTCACACCAAACCACTCTGAACGACTCCGTTTACATCTCAACCAGTTAATTATGTAGAACTTTTGAATCATTCTAGGTATTATATTGCCATTTTTATGCATAAATAAATGTCCGTGCTCATTCTGTAAGTTCTCTCACTCTAAAAATTGAGATCTATGGTCGAGTACATTGATTATGGAGTTCTCCACCTGATGCTGTAAGGAATGCTCTTATCTAAGAATACTTTAATATTTTACTGAAACTCTGATGGACATTTGATATTTGTATGTGTGTTTGTGTGTATATGCATGTATATATGTATGTATGTATATACACTCTTCTTCTTGAAGAACCAAAGAAGATGGTTCTTCAAGGGTTCTTGAGTAAAGACAATGGTTCTATAAAGAACCATCAGGAACCATACAGGACCTTTCTGAAAAGGGTTCTTCTGTTGTAGCAAGTCTGACATCATAAAAATAGCAGAACCCATTTAGGTTACATATAGAACCATGTACAACACATCCTCCATCAATCTGAGGAACCATTTGACCATGAAAAGGTTCTTTGAGTATTCATGGCTCTATATAGAACCATTGCCTTTTCTAAAGATATATATATATAATATATATATATATATATTATTATATATTACTATATATATAGTAAACACAAACACACACATATATATTGCTGCTGTTGGAACAAAACCTCATATCTTGGATGTGTGTGTGTGTGTGTGTGTGTGTGTGTGTGTGTGTGTGTGTGTGTCTGTGTGTGTTTGTGTGTATGTGTGTGTGTGTGTATGTGTGTGTGTGTGTGTGTATGTGTGTGTGTGATGTGTGTGTGTCTGTGTGTGTGTGTGTGTATATGTGTGTGTGTGTCTGTGTGTGTGTGTGTGTGTGTCTGTGTGTGTGTGTATGTGTGTGTGGGTGTGTGTGTATATGTGTGTATGTGTGTATATTGTGTGTGTGTGTGTGTGTGTGTGTCTGTGTATATGTGTGTGTGTGTCTGTGTGTGTGTGTGTGTGTGTCTGGTGTGTGTGTATGTGTGTGTGTGTGTGTGTGTGTGTGTGTGTGTGTGTGTAGTTGTGTGTGTGTGTGTGTGTGTGTGTGTGTGTGTGTGTGTGTGTGTGTGTGTGTGTGTGTGTGTGTGTGTTGTTTTATCCATTGTTTTTCAGCTCATTATGACAGTAGGTAGCCGTAAATGGGACAAACTGCTTTGATCTTCCACAAATGAGGTCGATTGAGGCTCCGATCCCACGACAAACTCTAAATCACACGTAATTGAGTTAATGAAAAGCACCACTGAACAGCGGAGGGGATTATGGGTTGGAGCCCCGTCATCAGTAACGGTCAGTCTGCCAGAATCAGCCTCGCCGTCCTTTCACCATTAAGCTGATCTTGTCATACACGCAATACAAGAACGTCAACAACTGGACTGACTGCTTAACCTTCAAAATGATCAGAGTATTCAGAGTGAATGAAGTGCCCTTCATTATGGTCACTGTTTTCCTTTCTGTCTTAGACATTATTACCTTACAGACCTAAAGGAGGCTCAGAGAACATTTCCTACATTTCCTTACATCACTTCAATTTTGCTTGTACAGTATTTTTGTTACAGACATTATCCCAAAGCAGCTTTCCAGAAATGCAGGCCTAAAGAGCGTCACTGAAGGACACAGTGTGAAGAAAACTCCCTAAATGAGCCATGAAGAAAACTGATTTCGATTTTGTGATCTGAGTCTCTTTTTCACAGAATAGTAATCACTGATGATAACAGGGCTTGTCTTGGGGGATGATTTGTAAACTAAAGAGTCTGCAGTCTCAGTCTGTTTTCTGTGAACCTGTTTACACTGGAGCGCCCTCTAGTGTTCAACACAGAACAGAGATTACCGAGTGGCTAGAAATGCTCCAGAATCTAAATCTGATGACAGGACTGAAGAACACGAAAGCAAACAAAACTGTACATTCATCTAAAATCTAATTATCAGAAAGGCTTAAGTTCTATCAAATCATTATTTCTCAAAAACTCCACTCGTACCAGCACAACACACACTAACACACCACCACCAGTCAGTGTTACTGCAGTGCTGAGAATGATCCACCACCCAAATAGTACCTGCTCTGTGAGGGTCCATGGGGGTCCTAACCACTGAAGAACAGGGTAGGAGGGGGCTAACAAAGTATCAGAGAAACAGATGGACTACAGTCTGTAACTGTAGAACTACAAGGTGCACCTATATAGTAAGTGGAGCTGATAAAATGGACAATGAGCGTAGAAACAAGGAGGTGGTCAGAATGTTATGCCTGATCGGTGTATATATACGATGCAATCTGCAACCTCACCGCTAGATGCCGCTAAATCACGCTGCTCCTTAAACCAGCTCTGCGCTCCTCACCCGGAGGAGAAGGCAGAATTTTCCGCCCTCAGTAAAGATGGCTGCTCCCAGCAGGCGGGAGGTTCTGCGGCTGCTGTCCCAGCTCGGAGCCTTCATCCTCACCCGCTTCGGCTTCTGGAACTGCTTCAGCATGCTCATGCTCTTCGCCGAGCGGGCCGACGTGAAGAGGTGAGCTGTACCGGCGGAACGGAACGCGCCCCGGCAGTAACTTTAGGCTGAGACCGAAGTGAGCCAGACGGGGTTTATTCTCGATTCTGTCCGTCTGCGGGTTTGAATCGAAGCCCCAAGCTGTCTCAGAAACATATCTGCAGCTTTCATCCTTTCTCATAACTGACAAACAAGTCAAAACTTTAAATAGAGCGTAATATTCCGATCTGGGGCAGCGGCTGCGTCTCAAATCGACCCTGTGAACTTACTAGGGGTTCAGGGTTTCTACGTCCCAATGTAGTTAAAGGGGAACTCCACTGATTTTTCCGAAAGTCTACATAATTAAATGGTTGTGATGTAAACAGAGCCGTTCAGAGTGGTTTGGTGTGAAACGCTCCGTTCTAGAGAAACGTACCGAGTCAGAACTGTTCACAGTGGTGGTGATAGGAACCAGACGTCCACCTCTAAAAGCTCCCTCACAGAAAGTTCCTACATGAAATGGTTATGAATTCACTGCCTGATGACTGAGACACTGTTTTACGATGGTTTTGAGAAGGTTTTGTTCTTTTTTCAAACTTTATCCATGGTGGAGGGATACATGCAAGGTGTTGTGAGGCAAAATAGTCCCCAAGAAAACGTGTCTTCAGATTTATGACTATTTTACCATCATCAACATTCCATATAAAACTTAGACGACACGTATAGGTTCTCTGGTGGTTTTGGACAGGCTTGAGCACAGATACATAAACACTGTGTCCACTGACTGTCCACTCTGTTAGACACTCCTACCTTGTCAGTCCACCTTGTAGATGTAAAGTCAGAGACGATAGCTCATCTGCTGCTGCACAGTTTGTGTTGGTCATCCTCTAGTCCTTCATCAGTGGTCACAGGACGCTGTTGGCTGGATATTTTTGGTTGGTGGACTTTTCTCAGTCCAGCAGCGACACTGAGGTGTTTAAAAACTCCAGCAGCACTGCTGTGTCTGATCCACTCAGACCAGCACAACACACACTAACACACCACCACCACGTCAGTGTTACTGCAGTGCTGAGAATGATCCACCACCCAAATAGTACCTGCTCTGTGAGGGTCCATGGGGGTCCTGACCACTGAAGAACAGGGTTACAAAGTATCAGAGAAACAGATGGACTACAGTCTGTGACTGTAGAACTACAAAGTGCTCCTATATGGTCAGTGGAGCTGGTGAGTGTAGAAACAAGGGGGTGGTTTTAATGTTGTGGTGTATAAAATGGGACCTGTAAGTCAAAAACTGATCCCAGATCTGCAGGTCTGTCCTGAGGAGTTTTATAAATAGCGCAGTTAACCCGCTACTGCAGCTGTCTGTGATTCACAGGGGCTCATTTTCATTTTCTGGTCCTTTAATTATTTCTCATTGTGGTTTAGTGCTTTTAGAAACAGCTGCTCAGTTTGGTTAGATCTTTTTGAAAGAGACAGTCCAGTGTTTGCATTTGTCTTCAAAATTCCATAAACAGCACATGAGTTTTTATTTCAGACTTGTGTTTTTTATTATTATTTTTAAGGTATGTAGATAGATATTGTACAAAGAAATGCCTAAAAATATATGTAAAACTTATAAGTGCAGCTGCGTATTGAAAATGTTAAAGCATTAAAGTGTGCTGCTATTAAAAAGGTCAAATAAAACAGATTCACAGCACAAGATAAGAGTCATCATAAAAAGAACAGACTTATGTGAAGCAACTGAGAGAATGATGAAGACCACTGCACACGGTGATGAAGTACACTGATCCTGTCTGTTTATTTTAGAAAGCCGGATATTCAGGTGCCGTATTTGTACATCGATATGGGAGCTGCGGTGCTGTGTGCCAGCTTCATGTCGTTTGGAGTGAAGAGGAGATGGTTCGCTCTCTGTGCAGCCATCCAGCTGGCTTTCAGCACCTATGTGTCCTACGTTGGTGGACACGTCCATTATGGAGACTGGTTGAAGGTAAGAAGAGCAGCCTGTGTGGTGGGATGTGTATACGGCGTAGAACTTGACTGATATGCAAATTTTGAGACCGGGGTTAAAAATTCAGATCACAGATAATATCAGCTGAATTTTAGTTTAATACTCTGGTGCTTTTAGTTAAACACTGCTTTACTGACAGATGTTAAATATTATTATGCAAGAAGTGGTATTTGTTGCACCTGGGCGCCCCCTAGAGTTGCAGAGTGTATTTGACGTTCACATACTGTCGCAAATACAAATTGCTGTGAGCGCCCCCTCATGGAGAGCTGTACACGTGCATCTGTTGATGAGCGAAGGATACAGAATCCAACTCCCCTTCAAGTCCACGTGAGTCATGCAGCCCTATGGATGCTGCAGGTTACACTTGCGATTTCTGTGTTCCTGTGTGTAAATAGTCGAAATCACAAAGGTGATTTGTCGCGTTCTTATGCCTGCGTGACTCACGGGCACGCGAAGTGGAGTCGGATTCTCCCGGGAGGACAGAATTTGGCACAACACTGGCAAAGAACACCAGAAGAGAAAAAATCATGTCGACTTACAAGATAGAGAAACATTACAGGATCTTATACAGGAGGCTGCAAACTTTCAAGGCTTATTTGGGTGAGACTTTTTTGCGTAAGATTAATTTACCGTGAAGCAGGACTGAGGTTATATGACTTTAGGAGCGTCTCGTGCCGCTCCTCCAAAGTTACATAGCACTAAAGCAAGCATTCTGGCCCGGAGACCCTGTTCACACTAGTGAGACAGAGACGCTATTCTCACTACACTGTTAGAAATAAAGGTTCTGTTCAGGTATATTTTTTATTCACCAAGGTACAAACAGTGTAAATGTTCCCTCAAAGCTCCAACAGTGGTTTTAAGGTCTGATTGTGAACCTTAAATAAGTGTTTCCAGGTGAAAAGTTCGTATTTGTACCTTTTCATAACCGAATGCTTTAAACAGAACAGTAAAATAAAAGCCTGGAGACGAGACGGGGTGTGTGGAGTCAGTACAGCTTAGAACATATCATTTCAGTGGATTATGGTTCAGTTATGTTCCCTGACTGAAGGTACTGAGATGGACCCTCGAGGGTTCCACCTCAGTGACTAGAGGGGAACTGACCCAGTGACAGTCTAGTACCTTTATTTCTGAGACTGAACTATAAGTCTGTGCACCATAAATGACTTTGAAGCTGTTATTTAAAGGTAAAACTGTTATTGCTTTAAATGGTCACGTCACAGGTCGGTTGCAGTGAACAACCAGCCTGGAAGGTCATTTGCATGAGCTGAACTGTGGATTCTTATCAGCTCAGCCACACCTGGCATCTCTCTGTGTCCCTCAGGTCAGAATGTACTCCAGAGCCATGGCCGTCATCGGAGGATTCCTGGTGCTGGCCAGCGGGGCGGGGGAGGTGTACAGGCAGAAACCTCGCACGCGCTCACTGCAGTCCACCGGACAGGTCTTCTTAGGAATCTACTTAATCTGTTTGGTAAGGTCTCCACTGAAACACCAGTTTCTTCCAAACTGCATGTACGATGGCCCTGTTCTCGTTAAGGCAAATTGTTTTGAATTCTGTTGATATTTATAGATCATACGTTTTTTAACAGTTCAAAAGCTTCATATTGTCATGTTTTCTGTTGCTGTGATGCAAGTTAATGGCAGCACAGTGGAGCAAATCTATTAGAGTAAGTTCAGTAGCTAGTGGTATAGACAGAGATGCCTTCAAGGCAGGGGGTGGGCATTGGGTCGTTGGGGCTGCCCCTCCAATCGTAGTGCAAAGCTAAGCCATGTTAGTGAAACCGCATAGAATAGTCTGAAAATAGCTGTGAAATTTAAAATGCATTTAACATTTGGGAAAACAGTACAGATTTTAAACGATCACTGTTGCTACGGCAACCAGGTTGGATTTCCAAAAAAAACAAAAGACACAGACTTTATTTTCAGTTGATAAAGAAACCATCATTTGAATGAATTCAGGTCATACTTGTCAAGGACGTTTGGTTACTTCAGCGGATTTCCTCGTTTTTCATTCAAAGCAATCACACTATTTACTTTATCTCTTTATTTTTCTGCAACTTTATAAACACTTTATTAGTACATTACAGAAACTATTCATAGATTGCTGAAAATCGCTCTGTTTGCTGTCGGAGTTTTGATTTTGATGCAGCAGTAAAGTTTTCCTGGTTACTGAAGCTGATCCCTATTGCTGTGGAAACCAGAGCCTGTGAGTGGAGTGGAGTGGAGCGGCAGACGTTTCCGCTCCTCGCTGAAGGCGTCCTGTAATCACTCCGCTCCAGCTCCGCTCCGGGTTTTCTATTTTTCGCTCCTCACTCACATATCAGAGAAGTTCCGCTCCGTTTCCGCTCCATATGATCCATTCTGATAGTATTTATTTTATGTTTTGAATGTATGGACAAGACGCTACACACTTTATTTCATTATTTGTATAATTAATTGTTGTTATTAAATGAATTATTAATAATTAGTTAAACATTCTGTGTTTCACAGACTTTTTTCGGAAGGTCCAATCTAGAAATTTGAGGGTAAACAAACGCACAAGATTTTAACTCACTCTTCTTTATCGTTTGCACAGTAAAGTGGACGATACGAGACTCTTTGTGACGATCTTGGTGAGAATTTCCAGCGTGTAGTTCTTCTGAATAGCTCTGCAGCACAGACGCTGTGTATGAACAGCTGTGTGTGTGAGCTGTAGAGTCAGTGCCGCATCACTGGTGTCACACACAAGCAGCCAGTATAGAAAAAAAGGACTGTCCGGCTCGCGGAATGGAGCGACACTGGAGCGATACTTCGCTCTGCTCCCGTTCTGCGCTGCTCACGTGCGCTGCTTAAGTCCCCTAAGATGGGGAATAATGAGAGAGATGAAGCTGAACTGATGCTGTTTATTAAAGGTGAACAGTGCAAACTGAGGAAATCAAGCTGCCCACCAGGGCTGAACTTGAGCTGATGTGACGATGGCTCATCTGCTGCTGCACAGTTTGTGTTGGTCATCCTCTAGTCCTTCATCAGTGGTCACAGGACGCTGCCCACAGGACGCTGTTGGCTGGATATTTTTGGTTGGTGGACTATTCTCAGTCCAGCAGTGACACTGAGGTGTTTAAAAACTACAGCAGCACTGCTGTGTCTGATCCACTCAGACCAGCGCAACACACACTAACACACCACCACCACCATGTCAGTGTTACTGCAGTGCTGAGAATGATCCACCACCCAAATAGTACCTGCTCTGTGAGGGTCCATGGGGGTCCTGACCACTGAAGAACAGGGTAAAAGGGGGCTAACAAAGTATCAGAGAAACAGATGGACTACAGTCTGTAACTGTAGAACTACAAAGTGCACCTATATAGTAAGTGGAGCTGATAAAATGGACAATGAGCGTAGAAACGAGGTGGTCAGAATGTTATGCCTGATCGGTGTATAACAAGCTCAGTAAAATGACATTAAGCATATGGTAACTGAAACTGTTAATACAGTGGAATTATTGATAGTAATAATATAGTAATAATAATAATAATAATAATAGAAGAAGAAAAAAAAATTAGTTATTTTAATATGTTCACCCATGATTTCAGCTCATATGTCCATGCTCCCCCCCAAAAAATTTAAACGTCTTTCATTGTATTAGGACACAAGGTTAATGATGTTATGCTAAAATGTTAAGAGCTGGAGTCATGTGGACTTTCTGGTAGGGTCGAAAGATTAATTGTTTATATATTGAAATCACAATTCAAGTGCAGTTTTAAATTTTTTTCAATTATAGCTAACATTATCAAAAACGTGGGGAAGTTTAATGCAATAGCACAGAGTTATGTACTGCCCGTAGAGTTAGACCAATCAGAGGCAACCAAACCTCCATGTGCTGTGACCTCACAAACACAGCTAACTGGCTTTCTGGCGCACTACATTAAGGGGTCGAGCCTCAAGCTGGAAAAAATATTCTGGTTTTCTCTGAACCTCAATTTATAGAAGGGTATCGCAATTTAAATTGCCGTCGCAATAAAAGTCAGAAAAATCGCAATTAGATATTTTCCCCAAATCATTCAGCCCTACTTTCTGGTAAGATGATCAATCAGATTATCCCTAAAAAAGTTACACAGTTACAAAACAGAAATAAACACTACACCTGATATGTGTGACCTTTCACATGGGCACAAATTCATCTAATTCTAGATTAATAACACTCCAAAGGGACTTTTATTTTGAAGAAAATCTGAGTCATATGCTACAGTTTCTAATTAGGTTAAAAGCACAGAGAGATCCCAGACTGACTCTACCGTCCTCTGCCAGGTCTACTCCCTCCAGCACAGCCAGGAGGACCGGCTGGCCTACCTGGACCACATCCCCGGGGGGGAGGTCACCGTCCAGCTGCTGGTGGTGGTCTTCGGGGTCCTGGCTCTGTCCTTCCTGTCCGGCTACTACGTGCAGTTAGCCTCTCAGATTCTGGCCATCATCCTGCCACTGGTGATCCTCTTCATAGACGGGAACGTCGGGTACTGGCACCGCACCCGCCGCGTGGAGTTCTGGAACCAAATGAAACTGATCGGGCAGAACGTGGCCATCTTCGGGACCGTGCTTATCCTCGCCACAGACGGTTAAAGACCCAGACAGAGGACGCTTACTAAGTGAAGCTGGTGGGCGAAGCTAAACTCGAGGTGATTGTGCTTATGAAAAGTCAGATGTACACAGTTTTCCCTCTTACACCAAACATCATCAGGCAGCCGAGACATGTTTGGTGTCTGAAGTTTGCTTATTTAGTTTTGCACTGAGGCTAAAAAAGGCTAATCTGTCACCTGGCTGCACCTCGGACAACTTCTCTTTTAGAACCTTTAGTCTACGGTTACCTTTACTGGGCTGACATTAGCCACTTAGGCTAGTTAGTTAAAACTCCTACGCAGCATCATTGGGAGCAGAAAACGAGCTGGAATTTGGGGGCTTTCATTTCGTGTTGTGTAAAGTCTTTTGAATTGTTTCACACATATATATATATATGTGTGAAAATAAAATTAGTTTTAACTGTAGTAGTTGTCCGCAGCCCCTCTTGGCCGATTAATGTATGAGGGGAAAACTGTAAATCTGATTTTTTTTGTTGAACCATTTCTTTAAAGCTGCACTATGTAAGTTTTTTTTAGTTAAAATTGAAAAAAGAAGCATTACTGAAATGAGGAGAATAAAAACAGGCAAAAATATGGTGAGCAAGTCGCTCTGTAAAGCCTGAAATAAGTCAGAGGTGTCGTGTCAGCAGTTTTACACACAATTTACGTATTAACGTCACGCACACAGACTCTAAAGAAGGTCCAGCTCGATGTTTCGGCCTCAGATGATCTCAAAGTCAACATCATACTGATGAAGATGTGACAGTAGTAGATAATTCACTCACATCCTCAGAAGACGCTCCTTCACCAAGTTTACACTGAGTTCTCTCTGAATTCTCTTTCAGTCATCAGATTCATCCACTGGGGATGAAGCACAACCCACACTACACAATGTTCTGTGTGCAGTTACACATTTCCACCAGAGAGGTCTCTAAATCCCCAAATCTTACATAGTGCAGTTTTAAGAAATATAGAAAGTGCTGCCTGTATCTCAGGGGTTGGCTATAAAGTAATAACTTCCACATACTGACAGGCACAGTATATAAATGTATAGCCTAGCTGAAGAATAGACCTCTAAGGTGTGTGATGCCCATAGAAGGATCTCCTGGTCGAAGCCGTTAATCTCTATAAGGAAAAATGAACAGCATTCTCAAAACTTGCTGGGACATGTAAACCAAAGTGTTCCGAATCTGATGCATTTCATCTTGTTTACATTTTTTCTCCTAATCTCACAGTATCTTCCGAATTAAGAGGTCATTAAAGAGGCGAAATATGAAAATCGGTACATACAAGCTAACACTGCTGCACACTGAGCTGACATAAAACTGACCTCATCAAATTACCTCAAACAAACCAGCTGGCTTTGTCCAGTGTGGTAGTTTAGAGGTGTTTGGCTGCAGTTTGAGTAGCTGGTGTTGGTTTATAACAGTGTTGAAGTTTAATAGTAGATTTCCGTTCATGCAATTTCATTTCAGTGTGCAGGAGCATTAGCTTACATGTAACAATAATATTTATTAATATTTCTCCTTAATGCCAGGGGTGGGAATCACCACAGGCCCTACGATACTCTGTTATCACAATACGAAAGTCACGATACAATATTATTGCAATTTTAAGCATTTTGCAGTATTGCGATAGCATATATTACAATATATTGCAGTTTATTACTACTAACTGCACATTATGTCCTCCATGGAAAACTTTTGTCAGCATCTGTTTTATCTACGGAGATATAAAGTTTTCAGTCTGTTCATCTCACTTCATTTTTACTTCAGCAAAAATGACCAACTCTGTCATAAAAACTTGAAATTTATATATTTAAATATCGATACTTGGCTTCTGTGTATTGATACAATATTGCCGTGCAAAATATTGCGCAAATATGCTGTATTGTTTTTTTCCCCCTACCAGTAGATAATGACCTCATAATTCAGTTGATTCAGTGACGTTTGGAGAAAAATATATCGCTGCTGTCAAAACAAAACCTTATATTTCCAAAATGGTAAATTTACAGGAGAAGGAAAAAACATACTTTACTTTTAATGTAAGTCAATGGAACCAGACTTTTTTTCAAGTAATTTTGGGACATTTCTTTTGGTCCATTCATCATGAAATTTAGATACAATATAAAGAGCAACAGGAGTTTTCAAATTATGCCAAAATCTAAAAACGACAACATTTTTTTGTTTACCACAATACTGAATAATAATGAAATACAATACAATAATAATGAAATCCAGTACAAAAGCACCATTCATTTTTCCCATGGAGATAAACGGCATAGACCTGTATTTACTTATATGGACATAAATCTTTTTGTTTATGTTCATGTTTATTTAAAGTCTGAAACTACATGATGCCATCTGTGCTGTTCAACATGCATCAAAGGGACTGTTTACATTCTGTTTAAGCTTTTTTTTTATTTAAAAACAAGACAGTTCTACTGTATGTCTTAAAAATGACCATATTAAAGATGAATGATAATTAGGGCCTGGGTGAAAGGCTTTATGCTGTTTTATGCTGTACATTGGGGTGAAAAGGGAATATTTTGGTCAGCTGTCACTCATGTCTTAAAGCCATTGCAGGGCTGCTCCTTCTTTATTGGCTCATAGCGCTACAATCTTTTTCATTCCTTACAACTGACATAAAATGTCATTCTGCTTTCGTCCATTAAACAGTTAATTTTTTTATTTAACAGATTGTGTTGATTTTTTTTATGTCGTCTGGTGTGAATATGTAAAAATATGGGCTGCATTGGACATTCAGAATGACCGTGTTCACATCTGTACAGTTTCGCATCACTCTCTTGTAGGGGTGCAACGATTATTCGACTTAGTCGACTAAAATAGACGACCAAATTAGTTGGTAACTAAATTAATAGTTGATTAGTTGGTGACATCGTTACACGTCTTTCTCGTGCTCATTAGGAATGTTATGACATTACCGCTCACTGGAGGGTTAATAAAAGCGCGATGGCAACCTCAAGAACAAAAAGTGTGATAAAATTTCACACTAAACTCAGAAAAAAGGTTGTCAGTGTTGCTATTCGTAAAGCCGACCTCAGTTGGCTATGGGAGCACATCGTCCACGTTGGAGCATCTGAAAAGGAAACTCGTCGGCTCACTGGACAAAGAAGATTCATCAGAGCCGGTTTATGAGGAGTCTGGCCACTTCCTATTTCCCCCATTATATCAAAGACATGACTGCAAAACAGCAGAGGGCGCCCACGAGCGAGTCCTCAATGAATGGGTGTGAATGGAGCTCAAATAGTCAATATTGTAAGTTTCCTTCTTTCTACAGCAAACAGGGTTTTGGGCAGCAGAGCACTAACATTACTGCTACTGAGTGCTGATTGGTTAGCATTACTGCTACCAAGTGCTGATTGGTTGGCCAGCGGAGCAGCTCATTGGCTGTTTGCACTCACTGACTCACTCACTGAATGTTCATGAGGCGCCGTTTTAAACTCTCATAACTCGAGTTTAAAAGCTCTTAGAAATCTGACAGCAGTGTGTCTAACAAATGTTTTAGTATTTATAAACGATGATTTTGCTTTATATTAACATTTTGCACTCGCTCGGGAGCGCCCTCTAGCGTCTGAGAAGCCAGGAAGAAATTGCAGAGTGGTAATTCTCTTCTCTACAAGTTCTCTGGATTCATCTCGGTAAGTTAGCTAATGTTAATGTTGAAAGCCGTCCTACTTCATGTTATGAGCTGAGATGTAACATCTACTTCGAAATGCTGTTCTCTGGAATCGTAAGTTGAAATGGAGAAGCAAGTAACTATTATTCACAGCGACCCTGTTCACTTTCCAGAGTGTTTACAGTTTTAAACACTGCATCGTCGTCTTATTGTTGAGGTGCGTTCAAGTTCAGGTTATTTGTCTTTATCGTCTTCATTGTTAGTTAGCAAATGCATAAACCAACTTCAAGCTAAATTTAAAACTGATAGCTACATAAGAGTTATTTGGTAATTTAGTGATTCATAATCCTAATCGATAATCGATAGATAGATAATTGACTATCAAATTAGTCATTTATGGCAGGCCTACTCTCTTGGTACTTTTATGTAGAAAAGATGTTTGATTAGACAGTGTGGACAGGAAAATACAAATGTCTGTGGATAGATGGGGATGCTAAAAACACTAACCCTGCTTAAAGGGGAACTCCACCAATTTTTTTCCAAAATTTCTGCATAATTAAAAGGTTAAGATGTAAACAGAGTCGTTCAGAGTGGTTTGGTGTGAAACGCTCTGCTCTAGAGAAACTTACTGAGTCAGAACTGTTCACAGTGGTGCTGATAGGAACCAGACGTCCACCTCTAAAAAGCTCCCTCACAGAAAGTTACTACATGAAATGGTTATGAATTCACTGCCTGATGACTGAGACACTGTTTTATGATCCATTCGTGGTGGAGTGGTACATGCAGGGTGTTGTGAGGCAAAGAAAACTTATTATTCCAGATTTTCCACTATTTTCCATCTTCAACATTCCATATGAACCTCAGAAGAGTCGTGTAGGTTCACTGGTGGTTCTGGATAGTAAATGTCTATATTTGTGTTGTAGAGTTCTAAGGAAAGTTTATGCCACCAATCACTGGATGTGAGTGAAATATATTCACTGAATCACTGAATATATTTTATATTCATATATATTGAATATAAAATATATTCAGTGATTAAATGTTAAAGATCCATTACTGCTTGTATTGCTGTATTCAGTAGCCCTTATTTAATCATGTGCTTCTGTCTCAGCTCAGCATCTTGAGAAGACCATCTCCACAGCCAACCACGTTAAATAAAGCAACGCTGCGTTAATAAAACAACAGGTCGTTCTAGGTCCGTGTTGGGTTGCCAGGTATTGAGTTGCATGATGTAAACAAGTCTTTGTGTGTTTCAACTGCCATTCAGCTTAAAGACTCGCCGACCGAACACTCCCGTGTCTTAACTGGGTCTCGTTCCACTTCAGAGACCGAGAGCCTTTGAATGGAAGCCAAGGACAGAATTAGGAACCCTTTGCATGGGTGTTTATGTTAAACCATATGGAAGGAACGTAGTAATTGGAACAGAAAGACACTAATTAGATACATTCAAATAACGTTAATACAAAATCCATTCATTTCTATGTGTGTTAACCTCCTTAAACATTCCCAAACGTTTCCTCAAAGAAGCCCAGTATTAGTCGCAGTTACCATCCAGCACCTGCTTTGGCTCAGTCAGTACTTAATTAAGTAGACACTTAAAAAAAAAGACGGTTCTTCAGGGGTTCTTTAGTAAAGAAAATAGTTCTATATAGAACTATGAACACTCAAAGAACCCTTGGCATGAGGGTTTTTCAGACTGATGGAGAATGTGCTGAAGATGGTGCGATATAGGACATTTATGAAAATGGTTCTGTATAGCACTAAAAAGGGTTCTTCTATTGTTATGTCAAGCTTGTAACAACAGCAGAACCCTTTTTTTGCTATATAGAACCCTTTTCAAAAAGGTTCTATATAGAACCATATGCAACAATCTGAAGAAACATTTCACCATGCGAAGACCCCTTTAATCATTCAGAGGGTTATTTGAGTGTTCAGTGTTCTATATAGAACTAATCTCTTTACTAAAGAACCCTTGAAGAACCATCTTTTTAAAGTGTGTACTTTATATATTAAGTTAATTAAGTCAATACTTTATTAAGTTATTCATAATATATTAATATCCAGAATATAAATCTATGCGATGGCTGGAGGCCTCAGGAGAAACATGGAACCGCACTTT